TGAAATCAATGTTATACCATCGTATTCTAAGTAAGATTAAGGGTTGACCTCAGTCAGACCAGCACTTGCTTTTAATTTGAACATTGTTCGTACTTTTCCGAGAGATTTTTCTCACGCTTACCTATAAAGAAATGTACTGATGAAACCAAAAATTGTTCTTTTAAAATACACTTGAGATATGATTTGCAAAATATCATCGATGTGTTACATATCCTTTTCATTAAAATCTTTAAGCACTACGTTTAATTAAAAATGTATTCACAGAAAATATGAAAATAATAATAAATAARATGACTTAACAAAATAAAATAAAAAAGGAATCAGAATATAAATTAAATTAATAACAATTTTCAGTGTCGTATAACTTTATCGCGTATAATAAAAATAGAACATTTAATGCCACATTTAAACACTAAATATGCGATATGACGACTTTGAAATGTATGTTTTATCTATAATTTTACACTAACTGTTTATTTTATACAGTCGTAGACGTTTAGTTACAGAGATATTACAATTTTTATTTCAAAATTTGTATAATTTAGACATAATATGCTAATCCTTTCGTCGAGGCTAAATACAAAATAAATAAAACTAAAAGTTATTTTACTGTAAAGAATACTGTACATTGTTATACATAAACATAAACTGTATAATTATTGATTTATGACTGATTTTTTACAATTTATTTCTTCTTTTAATAGTGACTTTATATTTTAAAATAATCAAGATTATTTAAATAAATATTATTAAAAAACGCATTTCTGAGTGTATTGTTATATCAACCTATATTATGTATCAAAGATAAATTTTCTGGTTTAGTTGAATTTTGTAAACATTTGTAATTAATACTCACATAAAAAAATTAGTATCGTTGAACGATACATTTAAAAATATTTTTCTTATAATATTATAACAAGAAAACAAAATCGATTTTATTCAAACTAATTTCGCACAAATATAGCCATTTTTTGGTAACCAAAATAACCTAACTTGAAGCATCTTTATCCCATCGTCCCACTTGGTTAATCATCTAAGGTTAACTTTTTAATCAGCGTCTCACCCGGGTACTACACATAAGAAAAAAACTCTTCTTAAATGTTCGTCTTCTGCTGCTAAGACATAAATTCSGGATTAACATACTAAACTAAATACCAAATTACTCGTATACAGATCATTGTTTAAGCCAACATGGTCACCAACTCTGGAATTATGCCAAAAAAATTCAATCACATCAAAACAATGTTTTACACTCAATCTCCATGCCTATTATATTTCCAATTTTGCTTTTCACTCGCACTTAATAATTGAAACCATGAAGGAGCTAAAACGAATTATAAAGGTTTTTTAATGGAATAATCTCGCACCCCAACCCCCTCATATCAAAATCATTAGCCACTCACAATATCATAGGAAATCATAAACAATATCTGAAAAAAATTGGAGTTTATACCTTAATGATAATAGCCTATAATGATATTAAGAGAGAGAGAGAGAAAAAATGATATATACAAAATATTTATGTTTATATGTTATACGAAGAAAATGTAGTGCTACTTATTACTGAATGGCTTCTTTCCTCAATTTTAAATTTGTTATTCATGTTTTTATTCTTGTAGCATAATTTCTTATTGTGCCCTGGGGCACAGATTTTACATTTCTAAAAAAAAAAACTTATTACCAATTTAAACGAATTATAATAATATGCTAACACTGCTAACAGTTTGAATACGTATTACAATCATATGTATAAAACTATAAGCTTTTATTTTTGTAAAATATGTTTTCAGGGTAATATAATATAATGAAATTAATTTTGTTTTTTAATTACATTCATCTCTTTATGGCACTTTCAAATGTATTGCGTAAAATAGATTGTACAAAGTCATAACAATAAAACCATTACATTTAATCACTTTATTGTTTGGTGACTAAATTATGTTTAGAGAAGAAATCGTAAAGTGAACAGCGTAGGTATACACTCAAACAACTTTCAATATAAAACGTCAAGAATGTTTAAAATAATATATCATTCTGAGTTTTGATGAAAAAAATTAATTTATCTATCTATCTACTTATAAGATAAAGATAATTTTTCTGCGTTGTGGTAGATTATTTATAGGTTTTTAATAGTTTAAATATCATTATAATAATTTTTCACGTTACTATTAATTGTGTTTTGTACTTTTTATACGAATATAATTTCCATATATTTTCCATATGTATATACTAACTTTGGTAAGTATGTGTCATTTCCAAAAGAAAGTAACTTTGATAACAAGACGTCTTTCATTATGATAAAGAAAAAAACAGATTAGTCGTAATGTGTCTTTTTTTCTTTGTATACAAAAACTTTTCTTCATGAGATATGTGGCAATAATTATAATCGTTCAACTGTTCAGATGCCAAAATGATTAATGCGTGTAGTTTTCATGTGAAAAAATGAGTAAAAGTACACGACGAAACTTGTGAAGAAAATAAATATCGCATGTTGTATGTGTATCGCGTAATAAAATCATAAACATAAAAATTCTAACTTTTTTTCAAACGGTTGGTTATTGAAAAATACATTTCTCAAACTTACCTCTTCAAAGTATATTCAATTATTCAAGCAGGCTAATGGTGAAACATTATTATATTTTAATACAAATTCACGTTTTATATATATTTGGATGAACCTATGTTAATAGTACTTACATATTGGTATTTATTGTACACGTGACTACGTGAGTATACTTGTTTAAATTAGTTTTAAACGGTAAAAGTTTTCGTTAATAAGTTAATACGTTTTTATAGCCTCGTACCACTTCTAATTGTTATCATAATTAAACAAGGCGCAGTATCACATAATTCATTATTGGAAATTTTATAATTTTATTATATTAAGTTTTTTAATACGTTAGAACAAATACAGACACAAATATATTATATATGTATACGTAAGCAAATGCATTAAGTCGTAAAATCACTTCAATCCTATTTTTACTCAATTAATGAATTTTGATAGTCATATTATATCTCCCAGGATTTATTTGCCGGTCGCTCCTAAGTATACTTTTAACCTGAACCATTATTACGGTAAAATTATGGTAGTATCGAAAATAATAAATATTTTTTTCGCAGATTTTAGTCCTTATCTATAGATTTTATGGAATTTTAACACGGCGCTACGATAGCCAAAGATGATAATGTGGCGAAGCCAAAATTATAGATAGGTATATGAAATTTTAATTTAAGATTAACTTAAAAAATTATGAACGAAATTTATAGAGACCAATAATATTGTTATTCAATTTCAGTTACTTGTACGTACTGTAAAGTTTGTAGATTAGTGTCTAAACTTGGGCCATTATTCACGGAAATTCGGTTAAAATAGTATGATGGATTTAATTGCTGTAATAGATTTTTTTTATTGCTTAGGATAAAAAAATTTAATTTACTGTGGACTGTAGTTTCTTTTTTTGTTCAACAATCGTAACTGCCTTTATCTAAGATTTATTGATTTGTTATTTGAATCCGAAAGTGGTTCTGAGTTGATGATATTTAACAATATAATATTTAATTAAATGTGTATGTGTCACATGAAATGTACATGCAATAAAAGGGTGAATGTATTGTATCCGTAAAAAATAAAAATAGGTTTTCGTTTCCGCACAATTTACAAAAACCACTTATTTTAGTAATTATTATGCTTTTAAAACTTATTGTCTAACTAAAAAAAATATCTTTTAATATTATAATTGAAATATGGAAGAACTCTAAATTCTAATACAATTTTTGCACTTATGTAGTGCAATATTTTTTAACTTTTTAATATAGTAATTATTACTATAAAAACTGTTAACTAGGTCTCTTAAACTAGATGGACATATAAAAAGTTTATTATTGCTGAAATTGCTGAACTACTATTGCAAGGTTAAAAATATCATTTGAATACTGAAWGTAGGCTTATCAGTGGTTGGAGATCACTATAGTAAAGATGATTGTAAATTCGATAATCGGTATTATGCGGTATCATTTTGTAACATCAAAGGCACTACAAACAACGTCTAACAAAATTTAAATTTTATAATTTGAATTTTAAAATTAAAAGGCTTGATTAAATTGATGAGATACAAATTTAAATTAAGTATTACAATATAATAAATGAAATTTGTTTTGCATATATTAGAGTTTTAGACGTTTTTTTTCCTATAATATAATTGATTTTTAGTTTACTTTTAATTATACCTATCTATAGCATATTTGAAGGAACAAATATTTATGATTGATTGTGAGTTTTATACAGATGTGATTTAATAGATAAGCTTCATAAACAATTATGAAGCTTATCTATTTATTATTATCAAAATAAAAACATTTTTATGTTCCACGCATATTATTTATTAGTAGATATTTTATATTTCACGGTATTTATTTAGTCCATTATTGTATTATACGCATAGTCCCGTATGACGTAAGCTATAAAGTTATGTTGGACATAGTGACTTATATAGTCGCCAGTCGGTTGTTCACCTCGTATTAGATAGCTGGATTAGCTTGTCATTTTCGGGGACATAATAATTTAATGTATCTAATGAAAGTAAAGCCAAAAAAAAAGAAAAAAAATTATGGGAAAAAATTGGGTAAAAAATGGTGATAACTATCATTTTGTAATTATAGGCTAATAATCCTAGTAATTGAAGCCTTTAAAAAAAAAAAAAAAAAAAAAAAAAAAAAAAAAAAAAAACCTATTTCATATCACTATAAAAATTAATAATTAAAAAAAATTAATTTTCTGTCTTTGAGCAAGAGATAACGTTCGAACTCGAGTCTCCATTTGGTGACCACTGGTAGACTCAAACACGATACACCACTATACCTACTCATATACATATATGTGAAACATTATATCACGTAGTATTGTTATTATTATTATTTATGTAGAAAAATGACAATATTAAAACGTTTTAACGATAATATTACAGTATGATGTATTATTAATTTTTAATTAGTGTTGACGTGGACAAGGAGTGACGGAAACTGCGCGGGGTGGCGTATAATACGTAATAATATTATTGAATCAGTCGCGGTAGTAGCGCTACCCCCGCTCACGGCCTACACACGGGAACACGACAACGACGGCGGGAGCGGGGATCGGATCCGTCGGAGACGCGACGGCGGGCGGCCGCGCGGCGACCGTGCTGTCCGGCGTGAAAGACGATCGGCTTCGAGGACTTGGAGTGGCCGGACGTGTTCGACGACCGGTACTACGATGACGACGTGGACACGCGCTCGGTGCGGCCGCAGCCGCTACGGGCGGCCGCTGCGATGGTGAACAGTGGTGCTGGCCGCACCGCTCTCGCTGGCACCGGGCACTACCATCACCACCACCAACACCATCACCATCACCACCTCCAGTCGCAGTCGACCACTAACTTCCTGCATCACCACCACTACCTGCACCAATACCACCACAACAGCGTGTATTACCGCGGCCGCGCGCACCCGCAGCGCCGGCACAACATTCACCACCATCTCGCGGACAAAACGTCCTACTATCATCACAACCATCACCACCACCGGGGTCAGTCACCGTCTTCGCCGCCGCCGACGTCGCCGTCCACGTCCAACCGGCCGCTCTACAGACGGGTGTACAACTTCATCCGGCAGGCGTGGACCGGCGTCAAGTTCTCATTAGGTCAGTCGGTCGATCGGTTGGTGGGTCGTCGCTACTCCTCCAATACCGACCAGCAGGTCAACGCATGTACGCTTAAACTGTAGGTTCACAGCTGCGTCGTCAGTCGTAACGTGTGTCTTTTATATTATTCAGCACTTTGATTTGTAACCGTGGCATCATTCAGTAACTACTGTGATCTACTACGGAAAAATTTCCAGAGTTCGGCTGAACTTTTAATTTGATCACGACGGACGGCGTGTCTGTAAACTCGGCTACAGTCTGCTTTTTCTCCGGAAAATTGCTGCGATGTTGAAATCTCTGACTCGTGGGTTTTCTCATACTACTCTAGTCGGTTTGATTAATATTAGATGTGTCCCATAAACGATCATCGTTCATTGTTCCTTACCTGAATATATTTCAACGTCCACCGTAAACATGGTGAGGATGTTTCACAACGCGTGTCTCCAAGTATTTACACCGTTTACTCTGAAATGTATTCATTGATCTTGCATCGCTCCAAGTAKTTTTTTTTACTAGAGACTATTCATTAGAAACAGTGCTTTTATTTAAAAAAATCCTATAGAATCGCTATTGTAGGAAGATTTATTTTAAGAAGAATACCTTTAAAGGCTTCAAATAGTCAATATTTTGAATAGTCTTATATTTTATTAAAAACGCTCCGATATAAACAAATAATGTAGTGTCCGTATAACCATTGATTAGGTATAGAATAATAAATTATTCTGTAATAAATGGTATAACTAAATTATTTGAAGTGAATAGATAAAAAAACACCTACATTAATATTACATTATATCAAATAATTATAATATAATTAACTAATTAAATTATAATTTTCTTTTTTAATATCATCATAATCACTTAATATTCCTGTTATTGTTTTTTTTATTTGAAATTTAATTATTTACAAGTACATTGCGGGGTACTCCTAATTTGTTTCACTAAAATGTTTCATCGAAATAAAACAAAAATATTTAAAACCCAATTTACCTAACTAATAACAAACTCTTCTTGTTTTTAATACGGTTTATTTATTTTTTTTTAAACTTTAGTAACAAGTTTTAGCTTGAATTTGCATGTGGTACAATATTATAATATTATGAGTTGAGGGTTGCTTCATTTAACCTTAAAATTAAATTACAAAACTATTATGTATAGAAATGAAACTTAAGGAAAAGAGAACTTAATTTTAAGTTTTTATAATATCAACTAATTACAGTGCTATTACGTAGTTTGGTTCTCTCAAGTTAAAACGACTTAAATCTGCAGAAGGCATTTGTACAAAGTTATCAACACAAAATTTACTGATTTTAGTATTTTATACACACGCACATCGACTATTATATGCACCAACTAAGGTGATTTCTAACCTAGTTATTTTCTAAATGACCACTCATTTTTATCGAAAGTTATCGAAAGGAGCTCTTCTGATGAGTATGTTTTAATTCAATATACCTACGTAATATTCTAATAGGATATCCGAAGAGTATAATATGGCATTTAAACCACATTAACCGACGTACGGACGATAAACCAAACCATATTATACTCATTACATGCGATGTGTATCTGTGGCATGTATAATTATAATAATTGGTTTTGTAATAAAATATTTAATATCGCCTTTGAAGTGAAACGTTGTCCTTTGTTCTACGATTTCGTGGTTTCAATATTCGAGCCGGTATTGTATAGTAGATAACATATAATGATAATAATACTAAAGTGCATAGATAGACGGAAATATGTCATTTTATAAAGATTTCCGTTCTGATAAAACCATGAAACACGATTGTTTTTCACTAATAAATGTCGTATTTTTGAATTTTTTATTATTTCTGCTGTTGTTATCATTAGCTAGTAAGTTGCATACAGTTTCATTTATAATTAATTATCACAGGTATCCAACGCTCACGAATCGTTTCACCGAAATGCGTACATGCCTAATACTATATAGTGGCATAATAGTTACCTATATTATTTGTGCAAGTTGTCATATTTTGTTGTATTGAATATGGTTATTAATATTTTTCAACTGTTAATGCAATTAAAATGGCATGTTTAGAATAGTGCAAATATTTCGTTAAATATTTGTTGCATGTTGTTTATCCATCACAAAACATCAAAATTAAATTAAACTGATAAACAAACCAAGTACATATAAACTACGATTCACTATTCCATACCAAATAATAATAATAATAATAATAATAAAATAAATAATCGTTCATGATTTTATGACCACTCGTTTAGGCTATAATATTTGTTTAGGGTTTGTATAATATTACGACCGTAATAACTTTGACCAATACCGTTTAAACCCATAAAATAAAAAGGTACACATTTAAATCGCTAAAATATCAAACTATGCTATTCACGACAAAAATACATTAATATACACGCATAATAATGTTATATTATATTGATTGATTTGAATACTTGAGGTCCATCTATTCGTTTAGGTTTATACTATTATATGAGGAAAATAAAYGCTWATAAAAAGCCGAAATTTCTATAACCTCTTACATCAGCTAGGAGTGGCTTATTAGAGTAGATTAAGTTTTTAAACTTTGGCACACTTCAAAACCACCGAACGATGCTGGCCTATTACGTGAATTGTTTGGTTATTATAATTTAAAAGACGCAGACGCAGCGAAATTACAATAAGTTTCTTTTTCGATATCGTAAGATTTTCTTTTTTTTTGTTCCTCCTTCTTTTTTCATCGAATCGAATACCGCAGCGATACAAAAAACAACTTAAACATAAGTCGCTGTAATATGGTCGGGATCATTGATCAGCACCAGGTCGAGTCGGGGACGCCTCCCGTTTTTTCAACATTATAGACCGTTAAGTATTGTAGTAATTTGTGTACGGGCGTCTCGGAGCGACGGTAAGGTCAAGTGTCAATTTATAATAAAATGCACTGTTTCAGCATGTTTMACACCGCTTTTAGTTCACGTAGAAATTATTACCATTTTAGCTTGCATTGCATAAATTATATTCGCTGTATAAAATACACAATATTATTCTGCAAATGGAAAATCGGTCCGCCATGATATTAATATATTTTATTAATTATGACGACGTTTTCCGCTTTAGATTCCGAATTTGACGATTTGGAAACACCACCCAGGTACAGACCCGAAAGCGTACAATACTTTTGCCGGACGACAGGTTTCACGGAATCGGAAATCAAAAAAATTTACCGAAATTTCAAGACGGAATGCCCAACTGGGCTCATCAAGGAAGATGCGTTCCGTGGCATTTACTCGCAATTTTTCCCTCAAGGAGGTAACATTCCACGGAAATATACACAATATACTGTAATTTTCACTGATTTCTTTTATTTGTGTTTATTATTCTATTACAGCCAACATAAGTCAATACGCTCATTATGTCTTTCAATCGCTGGACCACGAAAGAAACGGCATTCTAAATTTTGAGGTGAGTACAAAATATTAGACTATTTTTTTGACATGTATTCACCAAATAGAAAACTAGACAAGTACATCTTATAAATCGTCATTAATGTCCATTATTATTATTATATTTATTTTAAACTAACATTTCTGATAGATGTCTTGATTTACCTTAAAGTATAATTTAGTTATGGGCGATCGCTTTCACTATGAATTTTTGTTTAGATATATATTTTTTTTAAATGTAATCTTTCACTACGATTACATTAATGTATACCTACATATATATATATTATTTTTGTTACATATTAAGATATACTTATGTTAAAGACGTTTATCAGAAATGTTAGTTTAAAAAAAAAAAAAAAAAAAAAAAAAAAAAATAGTATATTTTACATAATTTATTTTTGACACAATGTAATAGATGAACTGATTTTTAACAATGCATATATAATTCAATACCAAGTATTCGTTTTGTTCCAAGGGTATCTTATAATTACAACACTTGAATATTTGGTTTATTCAAAAATTGCTTCTGGGAAATTTTTAGGCTCTACAGTTTATATTATAACTTATATTATAGTGGGTATTATAATATTAATTAAATGAAATTCTAGTAGGTACATAAAATTAAAATTTACATTGCATATTTTGTAGTTAATTAACTTGAAATTACGTCACTTTTACACAATTATAAACTTTATACGGGTTCTAATTTAATACACTTGACTTTGAAAATACGCTTCAATTAGGTACTGTATTGTAGTCAAATATACGTCAAATGGGAAAGGGTGGCTTGAAAGCCTTGTTTAATTATATTATATTATTAAATATATAAAAAGATTTATTTTATTTTAATTAACATTCTTTTATTTCGAAACGTAAAAATGGAAAATCAATTCCGATACCTAATATATCACTCGTCTAATTTCGATTTTGACGCCGGCCAGAATTATTAAGATTCACTGAAATTGTATTTTGAGTAGATTAATTTGACGACATGTTGCATATTATCAATTATGAGTTGTTCCATTAGATTTGAAAGCCATTATTCATCGGATTTCAAAAACGAATCCAAGTAAATGGTACTATGTATTTTAAATGTAATAACTTACTGTAAAGTCATTTTTTATTTTATTTTTTATTTTTTAGAGCCATTTGAAAAAAAAAACAATAATAATGAGTTTTTTCAATGTTTACATTAAAATAAGATCATTATATAATTCCCAATAGATTGGTTTTGTATCATAAAAAGTGTCTAAGAGTCTAAGACATTTATACATTTGTTGTTTCTCAACATAGTATGTTTATTGAGAAATGCAGCCTAATTTAATCAATATTTTTTTCTATTACTTGAAATCTTAAGTTAATTATATTATTACCATAATCCTATTTTAAAATTATATTAAAACTACTTTCGTCGGGGTGATGATGTAATAATGTGATTATCACTATTGTCAATGTGTAGCAATATATGTATAAGATGATTCACCAAGCATGTTTATTCTTATTTTTGTTTTCTTGTTGTTGTTTTTTATTTCATGAGTACATTTTCGTTCAGATTTCAATATTGTTGATCGTTAAAATTTGAAATTTTGATTTGCTTATTATTTTAAGCTGTTATAGTTTAATGCATCATTAATTCAATAATACTACCACAATACGATAATTTGAAGTACTCAAAAATTAAAAGCTGTTGAGTTTTCAAGAACACTGATTAAAATAAATAGGTTTCTAGGTTTATATCACAGTGTTCAGTTTATAAAATATTAAAAGTTAATATACGAAATTAAAAAAGAAAATATTATAAAATATATTATAAGCGACTTAAACATTTTTTTTATAACGCCGCTTTTACCGAGGGTGGAGAAAAAGCATAGCTAAATATTATAAGATTGAGGTAAAATGAGGTAAAAGATTATGCGGCGGCAAAGCAGATTTTGTTTGGCGAGTTTTGATTGGATGATAAAAACTATAGTGGATTTTCGCTCTCCCCTTATGTTCTTATAACATTTTTCGTCTTGATATAGATAACAATTTATTCTATATAGAAGTTATTTATTGAGCGTAAGGTGAGTAAAGTGAAATAACATTCCTTAAAAATATTCTGAAAAAAATAAAATAAATTTTTAAAATTGATATTTGAAACCGTTATTCTTATAATTTGTTGGAATAACTTTGATCGTCAGATTATGTATTTGTGTATAATATTATAAACGTTCAACATTTGCATTGAGCACCGTTATAATTAAGTCAATAGTAAATAAATAATAATTATTTACTTGGTATGGATAATAATATACAAAATAGAGTTTTCGATTTTCGATTATTAATAATTATTCATCTCCGATCTCCATTGATCTTAAATATTTTTGGATTATATCGTTAGAATAAATACCAAATATATTTTACTCGATAACGGATCATTGTTAAAAAGGAAATTTTTATATACATTTTTTTTTAAATCTTACTGTTAATAGATCAACATCCAGGATTAGTTTGGGTCGGTTCTTTGGTGATGAGAAAGGAGTGGGTTAAATGAGTTTGTCTTATTTAGGCTCAGGTGATTATTATTTCACCAATCCTGTTTAGAGTAAGGAGAAGTTTCAATTTTTTTTATGATGGGTTTTATATTCATTTTTTTTTTTTTGGGAGTGGTATTTTATTCAAATTATTTTGCCATGTGTCCTTAATTTTGTGGTTGATAGTGTTGTGTGTCTTTAAGACAGTGATTGGTTTTACATTTATGGACTGTAGAGATGTGGCAGCTTAATTTGAATTTTTTAGATTATCAATATTACCTATAAATTATTACTGTTTGATTTAAATTTATATTTATCAATATATATCAATTCATATGATTCAAAAACAATTTTTGTGTTTATAATTTTAGGACTATACTCATACACGAGTTTTTTAAAATAACCTATGGCAATTTTACACTTGATGGATGTTATTGGGTAAAAAATATCAGCCATGGTCTTAAATTTATGGRTTACATGGTAGGTTTGTTAATTTAATGTYGTTTATATGTAATGGTTAATGTAAACATATTAGATTAATCTTATTTCCATAGTTAGATATATCGGAATAATGTACATTAAATATTTACACGATTGATGAAAATGAATTAATTCCAATAGGCATTAACGACTGCATATTTGGATTTAAACATGGTGACAAAAGAAAGAAAAAGCTTTCAAATTAATATTCAAATATATTGATTTATAATTCAAAACCATTTTCACTGAAGTGGTATATGTTCATAAATTAAAAAAAAAATAATAATTTATTTAATATTAGAATTGTATGAAATTGTTTTGGTATTTCTATTTTCGTATTTATTTAAGTTAATATTCATATTAGCTGTATTTTAATAAACAAAACAAATAAATAAATAAACAGTAAATACTAGATAAGATTTATTTTTTAATAATTATTTTAGATTTAGTTTTGGATTTGATATTTTACTCGTTTTCATAAGAGATTTATAAATAACGAAATACGACGCACGTTGCACATACATAGTAAACTACCCGAACCAAATATTTTGAATAAGATTATGAAAAATATTAATTTTCCATTAACCAAATATTGTGAAGAAAAGCACAACGTCAAAAGATTAAATATTTACCTTTTCCATTATGTTGTTGACTACAAAGGATTTTTTTAAGAGCAAAAAAAAAATAAAATAGATTTCTTCTTTTCGAAGCGACACTTTAAAATAATGTTTATTTGAATCTGAACAATAAATTTTAATTTTGTATAAATCTTGCAAACAACTTGTTTGAAAATATTTTATCACCATATTGATGTATTATGGAAATCTATCTTCATAAATCAGTTAAATATAAATACGAGTATTTAAAATTCTATCGTAATATAAAAAAGTTAGGTACAATTAATTACTATAATAATAATAATTATTAATTTGTGTTTAGGGTAGAATAAAAATAAGATTATTTTTTATGTATGGATGAAAATTTGTATAGTGATTTTTTTTTTTTTTTGGAATTTTCACATGATTTAATATAGGTCTAGACTGCTGTTAAGTCTTTAAAAATAATGGAATAAACAGTCAGATATTGGAATGCATATTTTTCGGACTAATAATTATTTTCATTACATTTTAAACGAATAATTTATTGGTTCAAGTTGGTTCTACCAGTAATACCGATTATTTAGTATGGTATATTAGGTAAAATTAAAATTAATATTGCAAAAMAATAATATGTCCAATATTGTCCAGAGTACGAGTTATAGAGTAAACAAAATATGTTTGCATATACATTTATCGCCGATTATTTCATTATTTACTATATTAATAACTCGAATCCTTTATACGCTCCAGAATAGTTTTTTGGCACCTTCCAATATTGGTAACTGTATATTATTATCATTCCGCGAAATAAACATTTATTTCAATTAGTATAATTGAGTAGTACGGTACCTACATATAAATGTATATTATTATGTAACAATAGTACACCAACAATATTGTACCCGTAATTTATAATATTATGGTACAGTGTAGGTAACATAAGACTGTACACATGTTTTTACCATAGTTTCAAAATTGTATATGTAGATACGTATGTTGTGTAGATAAATAATAATATGATTTAGTCTTATGAATAACCGGCGGAAACAAAACAATTAAAAACTGATAATATCACAGTGTCGTTGCTTACCCAAATATTTTTCATCTCTAATTTATACAAGGTGCATCGAGACTGGTGGAACTTTTTGAATTTTACCATACGCAAATATAAAAAATAAAAGTATGAAAAAAATCGTAATTCAAATCGACATTTGACCAGCCAYCTACTAGCAGTTTAGTAAAAGATACTTTTTAGAAGTGTTCAAGCAGTAAGCACAGTTATAGAATATAGATATTTATTTTGATAAGTATTTAAAATACATATTTAATTACTAAGTAAAAATATTATTTGAGTACAAATACAAATACTCAAAAAATATTTATCGATTCTTTTCAAATACGTATTTTCATTTTTATAATACATT